GGCTATGATGCTCGCCAGCTCCTTGAGTACCCTGGGGTGAAGATTGTCAGGGCCGGCTGACTTGAAGGTATCTGGCTGACTTGAAGGTATCAAGGAAGCCTAGGGGCTTCCTTGAAGTATAAGGAAGCCTAGGGCCTCCAACAGCACACTGACCTGCCTGCACACTAATGCTAGGAGTTTGGGGAATAAACAGGAAGAACTGGTCCTTCTGCTAACAAAAACTACTACAATCTCATAGGGATCACAGAGACCTGGTGGGACTCCACCTATGACTGGACTACTGGTATAAATGGCTATAACCTGTACAGGAGAGATTGTGCTGAAAAAAGGGGCGGAGGTGCAGCTCTCTATGTGAAGGAGAGCTACACGTCCCTACAAGCTGAGACTGGCACCCAAGGAGGATAACTGGAGACCCTTTGGGTTAGAATACAAGGGGAACATAGTGAAGGGGATACAATGGTAGAAGTCTACTACAGACCACCAAACCAGGAACATGTGCTTGACCAAGAATTTATCAGGGAGCTGGCTGAGGCTGCACGCTCTCAGTGCATGGTCATGATGGGCAATTTTAACTACCTGGACATCTCATGGGATGAGCACTTGGCCAAATCCAATTGGTCACAAAGCTTCCTTACATGCGTGGATGAGATCTGCCTGTCTCAAGAAGTTTATGGGCCAACAAGAGGAAAGGCACTGTTGGACCTGGTACTGGCCAAAGGGGGTGATCTAATCAGCAACCTATGAATCAAAGGGAACCTGGGTGACAGTGACCATGAGCTGATCATTTTCACCATCCATCACAAAGCTGGCAAATCAGCCAGCAATGCAGCAGACTTTGACTTTAGGAAAGCTAACTTTCATAAGCCCAGGAGGCTTGTTCTTGAGGCCCTGAGAGGCCATGATTTCACAGGGAGGGGAGTTCAGGATGAGTAGTTGCTCCTTAAGGAATTGATCCTAGAAGCACAAGGGGAGTCCATCCCAACCCGTAGGAAAGGTCGTAAAAGGGCTCAACAACCCCATTGGCTCAACGGGGAACTCATGGATCTCCTACATCTAAAAAGAGAGGAGTATAAAGGATGGAAGAAAGGAAACATCACTAAGGAGGAGTATACTGTACTGGTCCACACCTGCAGGGAGCGAATTAGAAAAGCCAAGGCTGCAACTGAACTCTATCTGGCTATGCGAATTAAGGACAATAAAAAGTCCTTCTTTAGATATGTAGGGAGTCAAAAGAAAAACAAGGGCAAAATTGGACCCCTGCTAAACCAACACTGGCAACACTCAGGAAAAAGCCAATCTGCTTAATGATTACTTTAAGTTGGTTTTTCACCAGGCCAAAGGGACTACCCTGTCTAACATGATGCAGGATGACCAGGGTAAGGATGAATATATGCCCATCAATGGCATGGATCTTGTGAGGGAGCATCTTGAGAGGCTGGAACCCCATAAATCAGCTGGTCCAGATAGGTTGCATCCTAGAGTGCAAAAGGAACCGGCAGACATCATAGCACAGCCACTGGTGAGGATATTCGAGAACTCGTGGCACTCGGGTGAAATACCTGAAGACAGGAAGAGGGCCAATGTGGTGCCCATCTTCAAGAAAGGGAGGAAAGAAGACCCAGGAAACTACAGGCCAATCAGTTTGACCTCAATCCCTGGGAATATTTTGGAAAAAAATATCAAAGAACCCATTCTTGACAAGCTAACAAAAGGCAACATTCTGGGGGATAGCCAGCATGGGTTTGTTGCGGGTAGGTCTTGCTTGACCAATCTCATTTCCTTCTATGACCAGGGGACGTATTACCTGGACTAAAGGGAAGAGGTTGATGTCATATATTTGGACTTTAAAAAGCCTTTGACCTGGTGTCCCATGATGTCCTCATGGAAAAATTGGGCAACTGAAGCCTTGACTACTCCACAGTCCGATGGCTGGGGAACTGGTTCCAAAGTAAGACCCAGAGGGTGGTAGCTGACAGAACTGAATCAACACGGCACTCAGTGACTAGTGCCGTCCCCCAAGGCTCTGTTCTTGGACCTGTACTCTTTAATCTCTTAAGAAATGATCTGAAAACTGGTGTCAAAAGTGGACTAGCCAAGTTCACTGACAACACCAAACTTTGGGGAAGAGTGCTCACACTTAAGGATAGGCTGGTGATCCAGGCCGACCTTAATAGGCTTGCAAGGTGGGCGGATGAAAACCTGATGGCATTCAATACAGAGAAATGCAAGGTGCTCCACCTCAGGAATAAAAACCTGCATCACACTTATAGGCTTGGCAATGCTACACTCGCTAGCACCAGGACCAGAAGAGACTTGGGGGGCATGATTGACCACAAGATGAATATGAGCCACCAAGGCGATACCGCAGCTGGCAATGTGAATAAAACAAACTCCTGCAAGACCGTTTTAGGCTGGACACAAGGAAAAACTTCTTTACTGTCTAAGCCGCCAAGGCCTGGAACAGGCTCCCTGCAGAGGTGCTGCAAGCACCTACTCTGGACACTTTCCAGAACCATTTGGATGCTTACCTTGCTGGGATCCTTTGACCCTAGCTGACTTTCTGCCCCTTGGGCAGGGGGCTGGACCCAATGATCTTACGAGGTCCCTTCCAGCCCTAATGTCTATGAAATCTATGAAATCCCTCTGTCTTTCCTGGAAAAAATTCCAGATGCTATTCTAGCTCCCTTTAGAAATAGTTTCCAGCTACTTTATGCTTTGGTCCAATTTCTTTTGTGAAATCCTCAGCTCTTTTTTTAGGTATTATTTCAAACGCTCTTGGCTACTTCTGACTTCCATGAATGCTTCCATTATTTCTGACATCTTGGTTCATCAGGTACAGCCATTCAGTATTTGAGAATCACATTCATCTCCTGACACCAGTTTTCTCTTTTTGACACAACTTATTGGCCAACATTCAGAGTCCTACAGTTTTCCATTATTAGGAAAAACTGCTAATAAAGTCCAGTATCTTTAATACAATTCTGTTTATTTACAAAGAAAGTAAAAAGGCATGTTTCCCTGAACATATGCAGAATCAAACAACAAGAAATATTTTCTTTGCTCACAATTCACAACCCATTATACTAATATATACATTTAAAAATAGGGGCTGTCTTTTGTGTTGGGAGGCTCATTAGCTACAGGGTGGAAGATACAGGCATTTCTACCGCAAAAGTTCCAAGTTTTGAAGAAGAAATTCTTCTCTGTAGAGGCCAGACAACTTTCCTATTTAAATTTCATGTGAAATATTCTTTATTTCAGTCACTCAGTGAGTTTGCCTGGGGCAAGTGAATCACAGCTGACAGTAAATTAATGACTACAATGGTGTGATTAGTAGAGATTACAGGCAACTGAGAACCTGCCTGAGCATTTACCACTGTCATAATACTTATGCCGGCTATTATTATGGATTAATAATGGTCATAAAGAGGACATGATTCCACTGTGGTAGACTCTATATAAATGTAAGATCTGTCTGCATTTTAATATCTCACTGATATTCTGATTAAATGCGGGAAAAATCTTTAATTTTTATAAAAATTAAAATTTTTATTATGTATTTTTGCTAACCAGCTATTTTATTAATTTATCTAAACCTTAATAAACAAATAGTCTCTCTCAGCTATAAGGCAGCAGCAGGGCAAATAAACACATTCAACAAAGAATTTGAAATTATATAAGCCCCATAGAAGCAAAACCAAACTTAAGATGAGAGACACTTTCATTATTGGAAACTACTCTGAAGGGCAATTGGAGGAAATAATGATTTCACTAATCCCCAACAATGATTTTTGAAGAGTTCAAATAAGAGTTTGTTTGTTCTGAGTGAGGTTCACCAAGTAGATGTTATTTGATTTTTCAATTTCCTTGGGGAGGAACTTCGGATTTCCTCGGTTTTAAGGGGGTAACAAGAACATTTGCTGAACTTGTATGAGAATATCTTAACTGTTAAAGGACAAAATAAAAGTGGACTCTGTGCTTGTTTACCAAAGCTTCCCCATCCATTTAATTTCTAAATATCAAACAGTAATCTGAAACCTTTAGAAAATTATTATGTACTATTAAAGGAGAGCAAATATTAGGAAAGGATATTTTCATACTTTCATGTAAGCTACTGAATAATTTATATACATGTTATTGAAAAGACTAAACTCTATAAGGTTATGCAAAAGCTGAATATAATTTAATAATAAAAAATACCATGTGCTGTTTATGGTTTCTACTAGAAACATTTTACCACTGTATCATAGGAAGGATGAAAAGCTAATGACTGACAAATAAGAAGAATAGTTAAACTGTGAAATTCAAATCTAATGAAGGGCAACATTACAAATGACAAGTTATCATTTTGAGAAGATACACATTACAGTTTTTCAGTCACTCAAAAAACCTTCACTCCTGTCATTAAAGTGTATAATGAATGTACAAGTACATAGTTATAAATAGTACAGAGCACAATTTGTTGTAAATTCAATCCTTACAACTTCAAATATTAACAAACAAGTTACAGAAATTATACCCAATTTCAAAGTCAGAGCCTGATCTCTCATACATTGAAGCATGTGCCTAAGCATCTGCAAGACTGCACTCTTAGGTGGTAGAAAAAAAGTCAATTAATTCTGAAAATGAGAAGAAAAACCAATTAAGCTTCTAGTAACAGTTTTTTGATTTAGGAAAGGCTTTCTTTAAAGTGTCAAAACTGCAAAAGCAGAGAAGTTCAACTACAATTTCCATTGCACAACCATGATATGTGTGTAATAAGCTTTCTGAACTCATAATTAGGCATGTATAGCAAAATCTTGCTTTCATTTATAACCATACACTTTACTGAAGTCTGGGATATTGAATAGGTATATGTGATGGCAGAGCTTGCTTCTTTATTTTTTTGTTTTAAATGAGCACCCCTGCTAGTATTTTTTTCGCAGCAGTTGGTTATCAGCAGTGCAAATACAAGATCTGTAAATGTAAAAAGAAATGCTGCAGTATGCCAGTCATCTTACCTCATACTCAAAGTCTTCTGTTCTATCTGCATCAGCAGGCAGGCTGGAAAGATAGTCGTTACCTTCGTAAAATTCATGCTCCACTGGGTGAAGCGAATGGCAGCTATGTGAAACAAAGCAGTACAACGGAAATAGATGAGACAATAGTTTTTCAAATTAAAAATGATAAAAAAAATTTTCTCTGTAGTTTTCTCATCTCTGAAATTCTTTTTGGAATTATCTGACAGTCCAAGAAAATGGAACTAGGAAGGATCTGGGATTCTTTCAAATGCACAGAGACCAGTTAACTACATCTTGTTGGGTTCAGCGACTAAATACCTTTTGTCAGATGTATACATGATTATTTCTGAAAAGTGATTGAAGCAGAACGTTGTTTTTGGCAACGTGCTTCAATGATTAAAATATCTGTGATTTCTCCTAGTTAAACGTACCTAAGCTGTAGGTACGAAGACTATGTCTATGTGCACCCAAAAACACACTTCAGATTAGAACAACACTCTCCTTATTACCATTTTACCACCTTAAATCCCTTAACTGAAGTCTCAAATATGTGCAATCTTAAGTGAAGTAACATGCACTCTATACCCTTCTCTAGGAAGAGTCAATAGGTAAATGTAACGATATTCTTCAAAGCATCAACAAAGAAAACATTTGCATTGGTTGGATAAAACCTACACAGAGCTTTGTGTCTGTGTGCTTGTGAGAGGTGGAAAAATGATGTAGAGTCTGCAGCTGTGCTTCTTGGAGGCCCACAGAATACGGGGCCTTCAAGGGGAACACTGTAGTATCACTGCAGTTTTGCCTGTAGCACAGTGCAGGACTAAGGTGGAAGGGAATAAGTGACAAACTATTGCAGTAACTCATGGAGGTGAGGATAGAGTATAGAGGACGAATCACAGAAAATTAGGGTTGGAAGGGACCTTGGAGATCATCTAGTTCAACCTCCTGCTCAAATTAGGATCATTCCCAACTAGATCATCCCAGCCAAGGCTTTGTTTAGCTAGGTCTTAAAAACTGCCAAGGATGGAGAGTCCACAACCTCTCCGGGTAGCCTGTTCCAGCACTTTACTACTCTCCCAGTAAGATAGTTTTTCCTAACATCTAACCTAAACTTCCCTTGCTGCAACTTGAGACCATTGCTCCTTGTTCTGTCATCTGTCACCACTGAGAACAGTCTAGCTCCATCCTCTGTGGAACCACCCTTCAGGTAGCTGAAGGCTGTTATTAAATCCCCACCTGAGTCTTCTCTTTTCCAGACTAAATAAGCCCAGTTCCCTCAGCCCCTCTTCAGAAGTCATGTGCCCCAGCCTCTGAACCATTTTTGGTGCCTTCTGCTGGACTCTCTCCAATTTGGCCACATCCTTTCTACAGTGGAGGGCCCAAAAGTGGACATGGTACTCCAGATGTGGCCTCACCAGTGCCAAATAGAGGAGAAGAATCATTTTCCTTGATCTATTGGCAACACTCCTACTAATGCAGCCTACTATGCTGTTAGCTTTCTTCCCAACAAGGGCACTTCACAAGTTTTGGCTTATATTCAGCTTATTGTCCACTATAATCCCCAGGTCTTTTTCTGCTGACCTGCTGCTTAGCTAATCGGTTTCCAGCCTGTACCACTGCATAGGATTGTTCCACCCTATATGCAGGACTTTGCATTTGTCCTTATTGAACCTCATGAGATTAGCATAGATAGGATGGATTCCTATTTTAGCGTAACTATTCTAGGCCAACATTTAAATCCAGTAAGTTTCAGGTAGAGATTTTACTAATAATTTATTACATTTTGTTTGCTATTTAGCAGGTGAGATTCTAGGTTTAATAATATCTATACTTTCAGTACAGTTTTGCTGTAAGAAAGCGAACTTTCATTAGTTTCCTTGCTTCCTCTTTTGTGAGACATAAATAGTAATAATAATGATGATGGTAATGATGTATGCAATAACAACAAAACAATTCTTTATCAAATTTTATGAACCTTTTGGCTTTCTCCCTAACTAGGATTCGATTAGTATGAAGTCTTTTTTTTTAAAAGAATAACTATGAGTATGAAATAATCAGAACTGGGTTCCTCTAGTCTATGAGTGAAGTTCAGGACTGAAACAGACACTGCTCTAGGCCAGTCTAGAGCAGTGGCTAACAGTAAGTGTTGTATAGAATAAGATGAAAATGCTCCAGTGGCATTTTCCAGAGAACTGTGGTACTAACACTGCAACTAATTCTTTGGTAGCAAAAAATCTCTTTGAAACAAATACAGCAAAAACTGTGTTAACCGGCACTTTATTAGCCGGAAAATTCTATTAACTGGCATCCAAGGGACGCGTCAAAAGCAAAACCGGAAGTACGACTTCCAGGGGACTTCCCGTTTCGCCACCGTGAGCTGAGTTTTTCTTTGCCACTTCTTCGGACCATGACCCAGGGCAAAGCAGCCTGAGCGGGGCCCCCCTTTCTGTCCCCCGGTACACTGACGCCGGGGAGAACACCAGATGGTGCACATTTGATTAACTGGCATATCTGATTAACTGGCATCCCCCATTCCTGGCGGATGCCAGATAACAGAGCTTTACTGTACCAAATTTTACTAAAGATAGTATCTGACACTGACTGGAAAAATGGGAGAAAAACGTAAATCATACCTGTCTGAAAGTAAAAAAGGGCAGATATCAGGTACTGGAGGTGTGGATGGCCTAAGCTTGGCCAGAGCCATAATGTGCTCGAAGGTGATGTCAGTCTGGGTGCTAGCATCCACAAGCTGCACATCCTGTGGGCAACTATGTGCTTTATTAATGGGTGCTCTCCGTAAAACCTGAACTACAATTGGCTCCCTGGCATTGCGAAAAGCTTCCACTGCCTCTTCGTGTGTGGCCTTGGAGAGGTCCTTCCCATTGACCTAATGGAAAAGAGAATATTATACAATTAGTAGTCAGAATACAAAGTATTTTATAATAATAGAAACATAAAACATATTCTATAAATTATTTGTAAAGTATATTAAATCATATTCTGATGTTTACTGTCCTCTGTGACAATTCATGCAACAGATGACATAAGGACTGGGTAGGAAAATAACTTCTTTGGTCTTTGCTGAAAGCCCAGGGCTCAGAAAATGCTGGGATGCTGGAGGACTCTGGTTTAATTTAAACCAGGAAGGGGTCTGGTACAGGAGTTGCATAAACCAGTTTGACCCAAATCAGTTAAGTCTGGCACTACATTCACCCAGCATTTATCTTAAAACAATTTTGGCCATTTTGAAACTGGTTTATGTGCACTGAACTTATGTTTGGTTACAGGTTTAAACAAGTTTCTGATAACTTAAACTGGTTTATGTCTAACTTCTGTCCCTAGCCCTAATCTGCTGCTGAATTCAGCAGGGAGGGGGAAGGAGGGAAAGATGAAAGAGCAGCAGCATTAACCCTCTGGGCTCCAGAGCTGCATGAAAGCAGGGGCTCTGCCCTTGCCACAGTTCAGGTGATGAACTCAGAGCTCACTGTGCATCTGTGGGATAGCCAAAAAGCGTGTTGAACACTGCCTTACTCCATTCCTCAATCTGTTGCTGCCACCAGACTACAGGTTGAGCATTTTCCAGTCCCCTTACCAAAGATCTTCTTAAAACTGAGCTACTGCATTTACTATGTATTGGCCAAAACAGATGGGAGAGCAGTGAGAGCTTTCTGAAAGCAAAGGTCTCTGGGGCCTCTCCTGTTGAGAAACGCATCCCACTGAGCCATACTCACAGTAGCTTTTTCTCTTCTTCCTCATTTCATGTCTGAGGCTGCCTAGAAGGACAACTAAAAGGAGAGGATTTGGAGAGTATTCTGGATAATGCCTAACCTGTGATCTAGGGGGTCCAGCACTGTGCTGGGAAGTAGGAAATGTAGGTTTAATCCCCCACTGTGTAAGGGGCTGGGCATTAGAATCTGAGTTCCCAGTTACAAACCACAAGCTTATTCGGACAAATAATGGAAGGGCACCTAACCCTTGGATGAGTTTTTGCCAGCTACTATTTCCAGACTTATATGCATACCCAAGTGAGCATATAGCGTGGAGTATCTGCCTGGCCAGACAATACCTTACTGAGCATGCATAGTAGTTGTGCAGATGCTTGGAGGTCTGTACCTGGAACAGAATTCCAAACTGTGTGCAAGTGCTAAGAAGAGGAGTTAGGCAGCTGGATAATCCCATCTGGACCCATAACGTGAAACAGATTCTAGTTCTTGGTGTTTGTGGTGTAATGTAGATTGCTACAAAATCTGTGGGTTGTTAAATTCCTAAGTGTACACCTGTCTGGAGGTGAATTTTCAAAAATAATATGTTAAAAAAATGGGTGAATTGGGCAGTGGCAGTCAAAGACAGAACATATGACCTGGAATTTATTATATTACCCTACAGAAAACTTTATTGTGGTCACATTCAGAAATCAGGAAAATATTGCTGAATGTCATTAAATTGCTATTAGCCAAGGGAGGCTTGATGTGATCTAATTTACACTGTGACATGGTAGAAGATAGGTTTTTGTTGTAAAATATAAGATGAGCTGAAGGGTATTAATCCCAGTCTCCTGCTTTATTTTACAACCTCCTTGACTGCTTGTGTTGATATGAACCTTCACCTTTCACCATACAAATATTTTTCAGCTCCTCCAACAAGTTCATTTAATGGCAGATCATTTATACGATCACTTAGGTCATTTTTGAGTGTGTTATCGACACAGCAATAGAAACACATATTGTTAAGGTGGCATACCATTTTCCATTACAACCATTACATTTCATTTGCTTCTACTCTTGCCAAATAAACTGTAGACATTGTCACTTCCCATGATTAGTTTTTGCTTTTTCCTTTTTTTGTAATCTCAAAAATCAGGACAATTTAAAAAAAGGAAATTGTGCCCATGTAAAAGCATATCCAAGCACCAACAGACTGTACATGTTCACTCCGTCCAAGTAAATCCACCCGGAGTTACTTGAGTTACTCAAATATCACCTTTGGACACTCGTAGAATAACTTCTGCTTTTTTCCCCTAGTGAACTGAAACTGTGCCATGCTGCATGGAGCATGCTTCCAAACCCCAGGGTCAAAGAATCAGAATCATGAATTGGGCAGAAACACATGTCCAAGCTGCATTAGAGTCTGTCAATCCCACATAGGCCTCATTGGCCATCTTTGGACACACAGATAAGACAATCAAGGAAAACAATAATCTTTGACTGTGAGGTACTGCTGAATAAGTTGAAAAACTAAAATGTCAGTTTAATCTAACAAAAACAGTTCTTAGTAATGCTTTAGATCTGGATATTTTAGCCACTGCTGAGTTTCACCACTCTAATTCCTTTTTCCTTTCAGGGACATAGAGTTATATTGGCCCCTACTTCTGTATGTGAGATTTCCCCATTTAAAGTGGGGGGGCTTACAACTGTCACTTCAGAATGTCATGTAAGTCCTTAGCATAACGTTCACCCCTCATGTCCCTAGTCTACCTTTAATATGTAAAGCAGGTTTTCCTAACTTCTCATCCTCTTGTCTAAATAGTTTTGATGTTTATAAAGGTCTCAGGTTAACACATTCAAGATTCCCCATTACAAGTCTATGTCTGGAAATACATGCTATGTTTCATAGTAGTATGAATTACTGGCTGTATTACAAGACCTTCACCTTATCCAGGAAGTGCACAGCTCCACTAGGGGTACCACCTTGCTGAACCTGGTCCTGGCCAAGGGGGATGACCTGGTGAGGGGACTGCAGGTCCTTGACCACCTGGGCAATAGCGATCATCACCTGCTGGATTTTAGTATCCAATGCAGGGCGTCTAGGGCTCACACCAAGGCTAAAGTCCTTGACTTCAGAAGGGCCAACTTCAATGAGCTTAGGAGACTAGTGGGGGAGGCACTAAGGGCCCAGAAGGTAGAGGAGATGGGAGCCCACGAGGGATGGTCGTACCTTAAGGGGGCGATCCTCCAGGCCCAAAGGATAACAGTCCCTGAGAGAAGCAAGGCGGGTAAGAGTGCTCAGAAACCCCCTTGGCTCAGCAAGGGCATTCAGCAATGCCTGAGGACTAAAAGGGAGGCATGCAACCAGTGGAAGGGAGGAACTATCACCAAGCAGGAGTACTCCCCCTCGGCCCGGGAGTGTAGGAGGGCTATTAGGAAGGCTAAGGCAGAGATGGAACTCAGGCTAGCGTCCATGATTAAGGACAACAAGTCCTTTTTCAAGTACATTGGGAGCAAGAAGAGGGCAGCAGGCAATGTAGGGCCCCTGCAAGACACAAACAGTAATCTTGTGGCCACGCCAGACAAGAAAACTGATATTTTTAACAGTTTCTTTGCCTCTGTTTTCTTCAATAGGGACCGGGATATCCTACCTACCAGAGGTAGGGACAATCTTGGGGATAGCTCT